TCTGTTTGCTTGAATGTATATGTATTTTGATTGTGTGAAAAGAGCCTTTACGTAATAATGAAAAGTGGAAGTTAATGAAATATATTTTTTCATATAATATTCTTCCTGCATTTCCGTTTACTGACTTTTTTTTGGTATTTTATTTTTATAGTTGCAGAAGTTCTCCATCAACATCTACATATTACTCGGAAGGAAGCATTGCGGTAAAAAATCCTTCACCATCAGCAAATGTAAATTTTGAACCAAGAAAATGTGTTCGAAACTATGAGCCAATGCCCGTCTCTCCTTGTAAGTTGTCTCATCTTAATGTCATTTTTTCTATCCGACACTCACATCTAATCCCTCGAGGGCTGTGGAAATAAACCGAAAGTGCAAGTAACCAACTTTCAGTGAGAGTAACCTAACTGAAAGTCAGAATGGACCGATTAACATTTACGAATTTGCTTGCTATTGTATATATTACGTTAGCCTTTTTCAACAATGCCAGCAAAAGTTACTTAAATTATGAATAAACTTTTTCCATTTACAATCGCCTCTAAAATCAGAAGGAGCACGTAAAGAAAGTCTAAAATTGACTCCTTGATGCTCAATTTGCCTAGTCTGTAATGCTTATTATCTAATATTTAGTGTTTGCAGGTACTTTCTGTGCTTTGGCAAGCAAGCTCTGGCAGTGAAAAATTTAAGAAAAGCTGTCCTAAATCTTGCGAATTGTTTCTGATCTTTCATGCGTGTGATACAATAGTTATCCAATCGCTTGTATTTTTCCTGCTGATAAGCCTGCATTACTATAAAAAGCTTCTGATTTCTTTTGATTTTGTAGTACCATCCTCCTTGTTTTGCATCAATTTGCACTTGAAGTACTTTCAATCTGCCCTGCATGGCACGGAATCATTCTAATGATGTGTACAAGCATGAAAGTTTTAAGTGACCTTTATTAACCTAACTTTTTTCCTCTCTTTCTTGTGTCCAGCAATAGCTGAACCCTCTCCTCTCAGATTGAGTTCACAGACTGAAGATCCATTCTTGCAAACTGAAGGCCCTCATCTCAACTTGAGCTCAAGTTCTTTTCCGAATACATTCACATTGACAGAAAATTCTCAGCTCAACTCGCATTCAAGTTCATTACGACAGGATTCACGCCCTTCTTCGTCGCAATTATTTTTTCCCCAGTCGTACACTTCCCTGCTCAGCAATTCACAACTGCACTGCTCTGAAACTTTGACAAATGAGTGGGCAGCTCCTCCTCCACCATTCCAAAATCCATCTGTGGTAAGTCAGTCGATCAATTTACTATCATTCCATCTTTTAATGGTTTAAAGAATGTCGTAGGGGTCATTTCATGAAATATATAACACTTTAGGGAAAGGAGGGTCTGAGTCAGTGTCACGGGTGCAAGACAGGATGAAGGGGGTATTTAGGACCGCGTTTTATAATATTGGGCGCTTGGAGCAGATTTTTCGAAAATTTAAGATATAAAATCATCGTCAGGTGGCAATTTTTCAACTAAAATTCATCATTAAATGCTAATTTGAAGGGTGGGATCGGGAGGGAGGGTGTTAAACTGAAAGGCACATATTTTTTTCAGAGGGCCGCAGACCAGTGTTATGCATGCGTTACACAGAGGGAGGGGGGCTTGTTAAAAATTCTGATTTTCAGCATTGCATATTTTATTTAGGTTCCTAATTCCCATTCTCACAGATGGCAGATTGGGAATCCCTGATCAAGGGGGTCAAGAAGTTTTTGCATCTGTGTAGTATAATATCGAAGACCATTGCTTCTTTCACATCCTACATCATGTATTATCATAATTTTCATTGGCAGAAAGTAGGGAAGAGGGACTACTAAAGTACTTTGATGGCATGAGATTAGATCCCTCTGAGTACTTCTCAAAATGTTGGAAGTTACAAAGATTGGTGTTTTGGAGGAGGCACCTACTCATGAAAATGTTTTCTTAGGTTTTGAATTTCGATTAGGATTTGGTGTTAGTCAGGAATGTCCCAGGACTTAGTGAAGTGAGGAAGGAGAAGTATTATCTTACGCATTGACTTGAGAGAGGAAGAAGAGATGCAGATTTGCTCTTCGCGAGGGTGATGATTTTTCCTTACTGTGGGCTGTGATCCTAAAAGCAAGTAGAAACTCTTGTTCAGTTAATTTACAGTCAAACTATCTCGAATACCTTTACACCTTTCCCATCAACCAACCTATTTTCCATTTTGAAAGATTGATTTACAAACTTGTGATTTCAGTGGCCACCTCAAAATTCCTGTAGCTTTCATGATTATCCCTCTGAAACTATTTTGAAACAGCCAGAAAGACCGACGCACAAAGAAGTAAATAACTTATCAAGATCTTCGCCCGATCAAGACTCTCTTATTCCTAAATTCAAATTTTATCCTCGAAATATGTATTAACAGCAAATGCACCAATTATTTCCCTTTAAGTAAAATCTTTGGAAAGGATTTAAAGGATCAAAGATTCACCTAAAAATCCTGTAACTGAAACGGGTAACTCATGCAAATATAACTGATCATGCAACTTATCTCACATGTGAAATAATGCTTCTTCATGCTGTAGATGCAGGAACATTTTCAAAGATTTATCAGTTGCCCATGTGCAGTACATTTATATGAACATGTTCGATGTTACAATTACCTTAGAATAATCGCAGCTTGTGCAGTGTGACATGAGGTTCAAGTCAAACTTTCTCATGAACCAAGTCATCCAAAATATGTGTTTAGACTGTCTTACCTCTACAATGGTAAAATATTGGTTCAGTGCCAAACTTTAAATTTTTACGAGTCCCAACACTCTTACCTATTCTACCCCTGTTTTCCTTCTCAAGCCCTCTCCAAAAGGATGGAGAGGTACTTTTATGGGTATCCATTTATTTTTTCTTTTCTACTAAGAGACACGCTATTCTTCATAAGTGAATATTTTTTGTGATGAACGATTCCTTCAAATTAATGGAAATGAATAAATAATTTTTTTCTTCTCTCTACTCTCTTCCTCTTTTCATTTCTTCTCCTTTCGTTTCTTTTCTTTTCTCTTCTTCTCATCGGAAGAATTGCCGCTAACAATGAGTTCTATTGTTTTAAATGAGCCGATACTAAACAAGAATAGATTGTGCTCTGACTCTGTTCTGATGTGGAAACAGAGATGTCAGTGAATATCAATAATTTTTTTATGTATTATTCCATTAACTTAAAAGATTATTTTTTAACCTCAACTATTATCCCGGTTTAAAATTCAATGACTTACTGATAAATCATCTAAAAACAAAAATAAATAAAACACTGCAAGATTTTGTAAAAAAGGGGTTGGGTTGAGGGTCTTTTTCAGCCTCCCTCGATCTCAGGGCCGGATCTAGGGATGGCCACATGGGCCGCGGCCCATGGCGGCAAATTTTGCACTTTTTTTTAAATATAGGAAAAAAAAATCGGATTCAGAAAAAAATTACAAAAGAGGAAAGGTGACAAAATCTCTCATTTCCTGAGAGTATAGTAATTTCTAATTTTGTCATCTTCCGGTGATACAAGAGACAGCACCTTTAATTAGTCGAGTTGAGAGAGAAACCAAACACGCAATTTGGCCTGGAACGGCGCGGCGCAGAGAGCAATGATGACGAGAACTTGAGATGAACAGGAGAAACCCTCGGCGTGGCGGTCGGCATGTAACACATATCAGCGCCTACAAGACTGCATGAATACTTCACGCATTGCGTCAAACACTGTGCGGTCAGCAGCGGTCGTCGGGAAACGCATAGCGCCTACAAGACTGCATGAATACTTCACGCATTGCGTCTATCACAGTGCGGTCAGCAGCGGTCGGCGTGACACGCATAGCTTCTGCAAGACTTTAGGAAAACTTCACGCATTGCGCCAAACACAGTGCGGTCAGCGCGGCGCGGAAGCGGAAGTTAAAATTATTAAATCACATTTATGTTTGTTCTTTCATAATTTTTTCGTTCATTTCTTCAAATGGAAGGCCTCGCCCTCACAGAGATAGGTATACGGAACTTAACTTTTGTTAACAAGGTTTTGTGAACTTTTGCTAGTAATGTTGACAGGGTTTTCGCAAATAATGTGTCCAACAAGAATGAACGCGTCTAATGCACCCCTCTCCCTTTGGCACGTTCACTTAATGGTTTTTATTGATGTTTCAAAACGAATGATAAGGGGGCGGCAAAATGCAGACGACCCTTGGGCGGCAAGTTGGTAAATCCAGCCCTGCCCGATCTAACCAAATGTTTCATATTTTGATAGAATTGATCCTATAATCTCTATGCCAAATTTTTAACCACTTAAGAATACTTACATGATTGCAGCAGCGCCTCAAAAGTAGCCCCCAAATGAATCTGAAAGAGGCAGATTTCCCAACATTTTCTGGAAGATTTCACACAAAATCCCTCTAGATACCGAGAAGATGGAGACTTCGTTTTTGAAACTATTCGAGCCAACGGAGCTAAAAAGGCTCCGGAGGGGCCATATCTGCCCCAGGAAGGTGGTGTCCCCCTGGTAAGTTGCGATCACCAGGGGTACAGAATCCTCCAAGCTTCCACATTTTTCTCACCGGTTTACCACAAAATCTCCCATCAATTTAGAAAGAGATGACTTTTTTTTCTGTTTCTCGTTGACTTTCTCGACCAGTGACCCTTCAGAATTTTCCCTCCCTCCACATTTTTGGGGGCTTTTCCACATTTTCACGCGTCCACCCAATTCCTGTACCCCTGGTGACCACTCCCTACCGTTAGATCTCTGTGAAGGGTCAATAGGCTCTGAGCCCCCGTAAAATTGTCTAATATTGGAGGGTGTCAATGAAAAAAACAAACGCACTGCTTAGTATTTTGACGAGCGCTCGTAGTCCCAATGAAAGAGCCCGACGAAGGCGAGGCGCGGCTGATAATTCGTGAGGGCCCCGTGGGCCATGCGGGCCGGGCGGTGCGGTGGCGCTCCGAAGGGTCCAGACTCGAGATGCATTCTGATTAATCGAGTGACCGTGGTGGGCGCGGGCGTAGAGGGACCGATGAGCGAGTTATCTCACGTTATCATTGGGTAGTCGCTGACATCCTTCCCGCGGTGATAACGCGATCGGCGCGGTGGCGATCTCTTCCGTTCGTCAGCGGCATGCCCGCGTCTTCCAGTCGTGCCCAGTGCTTTTCTTCCGCGCTCCGTTCCGTTCTCCCGAACCCCGTCCCCCTCGGGCTATGGATTTCAGCCCCGCCATCGCCTTCGGGCTCCTCTCGCTCTTCCTCGTTGCCGGTAAGCTCCATCCATCATCCATATTTCGTCACCTTCCAGGCAAAGTATCACAAGCGCCATGCGACGTTTAAAAATTTCCGCCGCCATTTTATTTTTTTACAGAAAAATTTTTTAACGAAGCTGTCCGAAAATTTCACTGAATTTTCTTTGTGCTGCCGATAAAATTTAGTGAAATTTCCAAACAGATTCAACCAACAATTTCTCAGTAAAGAAATAAAATGGCGGAGGAAATTTTTAAACGTCGCATGGCGCTTGTGATACTTTGCCTGGAAGGTGACGATTTCCCCATTTGGACGTATTTCTATCAAACGGAACTAAGCGCCAATTTGAGTTCCTGTCGAGGAATTTAGAATCCCGGATAGCGCGTTGTGTCAAACGGACCTAAGCGCCATGGAAAAGCATTGCGAGTATAGGACGGAATAAGCCGGACGCCCGATTCCGCCGCCAATCCAAGCCCCCCTCTACCTTCCTCACCCTATGGCGCTTAGGTCCGATTGATAGAGATACGTCCATTTGAAGCTATGCTAAAGAATCGATCACTAAGGTGTCGCCAACACCCTGATTATCGATCCTTATCCATAGTTTTATATGGAAGATCATTCTATATGTTGCAAAAGCACGCCTCTCCACTGAAGCTGTCAGTCATCCCACCGGTGAGAGTAGGTTCAGCCACTGACGTCGTTTAAGTATAAAGGAAAGTTCACTTCGTGGAGAGGATTGATTTTTTTAAAGAAGAAAAAAAAGTCACCTGGTATCAGCACGGGAAATAAACACTTCCTTCGCCCCCCCCCCCCCCCGCCGCCCTTTATATGTTTTTTTTTTTAATTTTTCAGCGATGAGGAGAGGGAGGTGAGACCCTCCGACACCCCCGCCCCCTCTCCGGCCACGCTACTGTTCGCGATACCACCGCCATGGCACTGCCTCAAAAAACAGTGGCTAACCGTCATACCTATGAGAGAAATCGTCAAAAGGGGTGGAACAGGCATCAGTTGATTACTAACTCAACTTCTAGTTGAAAGGCCACTTTCCGAAGAAAATTACCAAAAAATGTCTGTAAATATCAAAATGAGTCCCGGGGCAAATTTTTAGAATTTCCTGGAGTAAATTAAATCTCTCGGACTACCCTTCGGAAGCCCAAGCATCCTAGGCGAAAAGCCCCGAAACGCGAGAAATACTTCGCTCAGGGCGCCAATAACGCTGCAACCCACTTTGGTGGGCTATCTAGAGGTTGCAACCTTAGAAACTTTGAAACTAAAATAACCGAATTCTCAGTGAAATCGGAGGATTTTGTCTATCACGATCTAAAGCAGATGACAGTTTCATCGGGTAATCCAGACATTTCGAGCGAGGGGGCGGATTTTTCCTTTATCTCGCCCACCGGGGAGTCTAATGGGTCTGGAAAACCTGCTCGCAGGGGTATTTTTGGGGACTTCTTTGGACGAATGAGAGGCGCACGGGCCAACGCCCCCCCCCCCCTTAGATCCGCCTATGCTGTTGATGAAATTAAACCTTAATCAAAATGCCTACTTTAATTGCTCGGCTAATGACATTATTAATGCATAGTTTAAGTACCCACGCGGCCCTATGTCCAAAAATTTTCAATCCTCATGTCAGTTCCAGCGATTCTTACTTAAATACTACTCATAATTTTTGAATCGAAGCTCATTCGCTCTGAGGTAGACCCTTGGAAGTTCTAAGTTTTAAGCTTTAGCCGCTAAAACTAAATGGTCTCAGTGGTTCAAGATCACTCCGCCTGTTTCGCGGATAACGAGTCCCCCTCTATTCCCCTCCCCCCCCCATTATCTCCGCTTCGCTTGCTCATTGTTAACCTATCAACGTTGTCAGTATGTATTTAGGGCCACTGGTGTTATCTCATACTTCGGAAGCTTATCTTCTTATCTCGACGAGTTCGATTGTTGTATGGGGAAATCATTCATTCATAGAAAAGGCTTTGCAAATAGCACTTTTTCATATTACTCGCAAGAGTAACTAGTCGTGCGCCACATCGTCTCGCGAGAGGAGCTTGAGTTCACCTGAAACTGGCGGAAGACGTTAACATAGCTAAACAAATTTTTTGGTGTGGGGCTGAAGGTCCTTACCTACACCCTTCTCGGGGGCTACTGCTGGGTATTGAGCGGCTGTATGATCACGTTTCTGGGAGATGCGGTAGCGCCATCCGTTCGGGCGGGGCGGGGCGGGGGAGGGGGGGTTTCCTGAGATCCTGCCCCCTAGCTACGCCCATGGGAATGTGGTAGGGGCAAACTTTTTTTAAATTTTGGGAAAATACCCAAAAATTGAAATAATTACGCCTGGCCGGCGCTCTTTAAGAGTGTAGATAGCGTGTAGAGAGAATGTTATGCTCGATTTTATGATTTTCAAACACGACGAGTCTTTATTGCTCAATACTTCAATACTCCTCAGCTGGTTTCTATTGCTCAGGGGTCCTGAAGAATCGTCTTGAAAGATGCAAAACTTCCGCACCATTAGCCGCACGCCTCCTCCGACGAAACAGCGCAGCGTGATTTCGTGTTTCGAATCTCAATTGCGCTGACAACGCGTTAATGTCATTTTATCGTCGTAAACCGACTCACACTGAGCAGCCTGTCATGCAGCATTGTCTTATTCGCTGGCATGGATCCAGGTCTAGTAACCTCCAATCAATGTCATTGTCTGATGTGAAAATTGGTTCTAGAGGTTTCTACACTTCACTTCGCGGATCTTGGTCTTTCGTTTGTTTTTAGAGCGAAATAGATCGCAAGGTATTTGAGTCCTGCACATGTAAACATTCAGTCACACACAGGCACCTCAGTGGCGTGGCGTGAAATGCGATATATCGATTGTTATGCCATTTAAAGCTATGGAAAAGGATCGATAAACAGGGTGTTCGTAGCGAACGCCTTAATAATCGATTCTTTACCATAGGTTTAAATGGCATAAAAATCGATAAATCGCAAAGCACGCCACGCCACTGAGGCACCTGGCACGTCCAAGGCAATTAATCGGATTCTTGCAAACAAGAAATCGTTGAAACAATGATGATGACAGGATCCCGCGAGTCGGTCACTATGAGATCGGTCTTGGAATTTTGTTTCCCTGCCTTTCTATCGGATCTGATAGTCCCTCATAATCCCCGCGACTTCCCTTGATGAGATGTCCCTCTGCTTTCTCCCGAAAAAGTGCCCAGTTCTGTCCATGCCTGTAAGAGGTACACCCTTCCTCTGATATCACCCTTGAAATGTTATGTTTAAGGATGCATATCGATAAGGGCCGTTTTTGAGACCACTATAGCTGAACGTCCTCAACTCTGCGATTTTTTACTCATTGAAGGTCTTTATTTTACGGAAAGCACAGAACCGGATTTACCTACTTGCCGCCCATGGGCCGCCTGTATTTTTCCGCCCCCTTCTCATTCGTTTTGAAACCTCAATACAAACCATCAAGTGAACGTGCCGGAGGGAGAGGGGTGCATAAGACGCATTTACTCGTGTTGGACACACTTTTTGCGAAAGCCCTGTCAACGCTACCTGCAAAAATTCACGGAACTCGGCGCGAAAGTTAAGCTCCGTAAACCTATCTCTGTGTGGACAAGGGCTTCCATTCATAAGAAATGAACGAAAAAATTATGAAAGAACAAACATATGATCGCACTATGTTTGGCGCAATGCGTGAAGTATTCCTACAGTCTTGTAGGCGCTATGCGTTTCACGCCGACCGCTGCTGAACGCACTGTGTTTGACGCAATGCGTGAAGTATTCATGCAGTCTTGTAGGCGCTATGCGTTTCACGCAACGTCGACCGCTGCTGACCGCGTTCCGCGTTGTGTTTGATGCTATGCGTGAAGTATTCATGCAGTCTTGTAGGCGCTAATATGTGTTACATGCCGACCGCCGCGCCGAGACGAGGGCGTCTCCTTTTCATCTCAAGTCCTCGTCATCATTGCTCTCTGTGCCGCGCCGCTCCAGGCCAAATTGCGTGTTTGGTTTCTCTCATAACTTGACTATAATTAAAGGTGCTGTTTCTTGTATCACCGCAAAATGACAAAATTAGAAATTACCATACTCTCAGTAAATGAAAGATTTAGTCGTCTTTTCTCGTTTGTAATTTTTTACACCTAAGTTTAAAAAAAATTGGAAAATTTGCCGCCATGGGCCGCGGCCCATGTCCGCAAAATGTGCCTAAATCCGGCCCTGGGAAAGCAGCATCATTTGGTCATTTCCGATCTCTTTTCAGATGTAATACTGCCCTAAGCTGAGGTCTGAAAGCAGATTTTGGCAAAAAAATATGAATTTTGCGAGTTTTCGGTGGAATGCCGAAAAATCTGCACCTTTCGCCGAAAGCGACCTTGATGAACCCGTGTTTAGGCCAGTATTAGCTCCTTAAAGAGGCCGAAAATGAACAGATCTTGATGCATATCCCAATGGAACGAATCCCCTATCTTCTATAGTGCCCCTCATCTAGCCCCGCCCCCATTAANTTAAACCCCCCCCCCCCAAAAAAAAAAATCCAGTATCGTGAGTGGCTACTAAGTAACCCGAACGATTATCTGGACAATTTTTTCCACGTAGCTCCCCTGCCTTTGAATTCGTAACTGGATTATCAGCTCATCTGGGACTTTTCGTCCAGCGTTCATTTTTCCGTCCTGTCCACGGAAATCACCCCTTATTGAGCTATTTTCACTAGTAGGTACCTATGTGATAAGCCTTGGTTTCTCAGTATTGATATCTTTCGAGATGAGCAAACATTAACCGGAACTCTTCTTACCTACTCATGAACCCCTTTAAAGTGCCTCTGTCTGTTTGTCAAATAAGTAATATCAAACAAACACGAGGACTGAAATTTCGTGGCACTTTGAAGATGAGAAAGTGAAAGTCGGATGTCGTCAGGATTAAGCGACATTATCGCGAGTATTTAAGTAAGTGATTCCTTATCGTGTCTCATCAAACATTCGATCATTTTTCATTGGAATTGAGAATCTTTTTTTCGGAATTTGAGTCAAAGTGATTCCGAGCCTTGGGAGAAGGGANGGGGGGGGGGGGGGGGGGGGTCCGGTCCGATTCCCAACGTGATATAATCCCAACTGTGTAAAACACGAGCACAGGAAGGTCATAAATGAAAGAAACAGTTTTCCACCATTTGCTTCTAGGTCTCAAGTCAACGAGCAGTCTAGCTCTATTCAACTGCTAAGGAAGAGCAAATTAAATTTGTGCTATTAAGAAAATAGAAGAAAAAGAAAACGAAAAAGGAGAAAGAGACGGAGAGTAAGTAAAAAGCATTACTAATAAAAAAAAGTGGTGCCCTAACAACAATGGTCAGATCGTTTACACCTCAGGGGAAAAAAAAATAAAAATAGGCAAAAAATAAACCATAAGAAAAAAAGGAAGAAATAATCAGAAACTTTCGAATAAGAAACAGAACCATAGAGAAAAGAGTGAAACAAAATAAATAAAATAAGGGAGGAAATGGAGGGAAGTGGAGTGAAAGGAAAAGAAAAGGGGAAAATAAAATACAATAGGTGGACAAAATGAAAAAATTAAATAAAAGTAAAAAGAAGAAATATGACATGGTGAAGTAATATTACTTTTAGTGAAATTGATTGAAATTGAAATTATGATGAAGTAAAAAAATAAAAAATGAATGAATGAATAAATAAATGAATAATTTTTTGTTTAAAAAATCCCGCTAAAATCGCAATATTGATGTTTAAAAGAAGCATTTAATTTTCAATACTGTTGAGCATCGAAAATGAAAGAGGCCAGATATGCCTGCTAGACATCATAATCAATTTTTTTTTTGTTTCGTTCTTTACTTAAATACCTATATTGAATGTTATTTTTTGACAGATGTCTCTCCATCTAATAACTGCATAAAACTTGACATCTTGGGCGGAACCGTCACCATGAGACAAATGGGTCGCAGAGCAAGATTTTCATGTAGGAAGCCTTATCGTCTATTCGGTCCAGCTTCGTCAACATGTTTCAGAGGCCGATGGTCCCCTGGGCCACCTAAATGTGGTATGATTCAATTTTTTTCCATTTTCTCGTCCATTGTTTACCATTCTCCTCTTTTTTTTCTCGTCTTTACTTCTTTTTCCTTCTCCAGAATTTTAAATTGTCATAGAATTTTCATTTGTGCCAACATATGTATATCAGCTAAGGCTCTTGATAATTACAAAAAAATGCAGAAATGAGGTTGAATGGATTAGCAGGGTTGTCATTCTTCGTAGGGACTTTCAAGATTTCTTTAATTTTTTCTGTTTTATCATAGGAATTGACTGCCCTATAACCAGTGTAAAAATGGTCAACCGCAGTAGGCTGTTTGTCTCAAGCTCAGTGTGTGAACGCGGCTACGAGGCTGTTCCATTCATAACAGCACATTGTGAGGATGAAACTGGACTGTCAAGCAAATCTTATCCGATCTGCATAGGTACATATTTATGTATTTCCTACCATTTTTATAACATCATACCAACCGAGTAAACCTTAAAATTGAGGATTGTTACAAAGGAAATTTGTTCTAAAGAGAGAAAAAATAAAATCCAAATGGCATAAAATACGTTTAAAACTTTTCCAACTTAGGCAAAGTTTTATTTCCCCCCCCCCTTTCTTCAAAGTGCGGCTTGGGACGATGGATGAAGTCTTCTATGTGTCTTCTTATTCTTATAAGAATAGGTACCATTAATTTACCCACTAAAATTGTATCCCCTACAATTAAAATTCATAGCAAACAAGATTAAATCAAGTAAGAGTTAGGTTGAAATGCTCTATCAGTCTCAATTGCACAATTTTACCCTTGTGATCAAGTGTTAAAACTCAAATTTGATTTTCCTTGGCAACAAAATTGGTCCATTTCCTAATTAATATATCAAGCTTCAATTGTTTACGAAGTGAAAGATGTGGGAAATGCATTTCAAGAAGTTTAAGTGACAATTTTTTCTCTCTTTCAGCTGAGGCCTGTGCTGAAACTTATACATTTTGTAATTCTAATGACTGTAATGTATTTGCCGCTAGGAACTTGAATGAATTGTATGTTTCTTGCAAGCCTGGATTTTCTCCACTTGGCCGTGATAAAGTTGATTGTGATTCACAATATGGCCTCACTTTTGCTGGATGCCGAGGTATGTAGATTTCTATTGTAATTCATTTTAAGATAATGGTTAAGCATATGAAGATTAAGCGTCAATCTTTATTTTTTCAATTTCCTCAAAAGTTTGAACCATCATTTGGATTGCATTTTGCAAAAAGGAACCACTAGCATTGCAATGATGCTAAGATTATGCAACTTCATCTTTTGCAATAAAATTGCGGAAATCGTGAAAAACTATGAAATTTAGATGGTAATTTTTTTCTTAAATTTACAGTTTTTAGCGAGTAAAATAGAAACTATTAATGGATAATCGGGTTTTTCCTCCAAGACAAAAGAAGTTGCACAATCTTAGCAACATTGCAATGCTAGTGGTTCCTTTTTGCAAAATGCAATCCAAGTGATAAACTTAAATGCTCATCTCAGCATTGGATTTCTTTTTCATGGAGGTGAAGGCTCCACTAACAAATTGAGCCTTTACTCCTATTAAAAAAGCCTCATGGTTAACTTCTCTCTTCGGCTCTAGTGGAATCTAATTAAAAGGTTTGGCTAGGGACCATTGACCATTGAGCATGTTTTTCTGCCATGAGAACAAGAGCCGAGAGTGTTTATTGTTATGGAATATTATTATTTAATTTTATTTATTTATTTTTTTCTTTTTGGAATACCCGCCTACATCTTAAATACTGATGCCTAAACGTAAAAACCACTTATTTTAGTTCAAAACGTTTTAGGCACCTTATCAAGCTTCATTCCTTACTCAGGAAACTATTGTACCTATTGTATCTATTGTTTCTATTGTACCTAATCACTGGAAAGTGTCTGCGATTTTAGATTTCTGTTTGAGGTGTATTTTGTGAACATTTTAAGCGGTTAAGTTTGCTCTTTTCCTTTCAAAAATTTAAATATCTAGAGACAAATTATGAAATATTGATATTGCAATAAGTTAACCTCAGAGTTCAGCCATCATTGTGTATTTACTATTGGATATTCAAGAGGCCGAAATAACAATGAAAGTGGAACTAAAGATACAATTAAGTATGAATTTAAATCTCTGGAGATAAAGTATCGTATCAGTGGAAATGTTAAAATTGTTTGTTGCAAAATAGTATGCAGGTATAAAAAGGAGGGTGTCTACTGTCAGTACAAACCAGAAAAACTAGAAAATTTCAGGAAATATGAGGTCATGAGGAAAAATTAGGAAAATATCAGGAATATTGGTCATGGATCAGGAAGTTCCGAGTTCGTCAAACATTTTTCAACTACATGCAGTTTTGCATGAGCAGAAGTGAAACTTTTGATTCAATTCATCTAATATGTTAGTCTGTAAATAAAATGAGTCTCACTTAATTTCAGCAAATAATAGGAAATTTCATTTAAAATATCAGGAAAATTCAAAATTAAAGTTCAGTAGACACCCTGGAAAAGTGTTCTCAATTAATCTTCGAACCATAACTTCAACTCAATGTGATTCTTCCTTGAGTTTGTTTAAAAGTTTCCATTTTTGTCATTGTAAGAAACAAAATTTTGACAGGTACACCCGTGCAATTATCTTGTGACTTTGAATTAATATCGGAGCCCTACTGCGGATGGGGCCGGCCATCGGGATCTGATGATGCTTTTTTGTGGTTTCGCAAGGGACGAGCACAAAGACGTGACCTTTTTGTTAGTCGCTCACTTTGGGAAACTTTACCCGCTACTGATCATACTTCAGAGGTAAAGGGAGGAGGTAATCTTTCTTCATTCATTGTCTTGTAACATTTTTCACCTTCTCTTCTCTGTTCCCTCGCTAAAAAAAATTCATTAAATTCTATGAAAACTCAAAACTGTCCAGAAACAGCATATGAAGGAAAAATGGTTTTCACAAATCCAATTTTCAATCTCGGGAAAAGGCTGACTCCATGAAATTTGCAAATAACCCCGAAGTATTAAAAAGTAAAAGAATAAATAGTGAAAGTATAAATAATAAAAAGAAAAAAGAAAAAATAGTTAAAGTATAAATGCATTAAATGCAGTTTTAAGTTTAAAATATATCAGTTTAATATATATACTGCATATCTCGGTTTGCAACATTGTAGACTTCCTGTCATACTTTGTTTCTTAAATGGAAAATTATCAATGGCAATTATCAAAAACTGCTGTGGTTACTCTTCTCTAAGGGTAGGAAATTCTGTAAAAACTTTCAAGGAATGATGTTAATTTTTTCTCCTTTACAAAAATACAATAGGAGTAGAGATTTTAAAACGAACAACACCTTAAACAAGATACGTGGTTGGGGAGTTTCAGTGTCGATATGTACAATAACTAAAATAACTTCTTGAATTTTTGGAATCCTATGATCTAGGTAGTTTTAAATTTTTTCAATGAGATTGAAAAATAGCTCATGATCAATGTTTGCTACTGGCACTTACTCTTAATCTGTGCAACACATATTTCTTATGTTCATTTAAGCATATAATTTTTACTTTTTCAGGTGGTATGTCAGGTAGTTACTTGTACCTCCCTACAGCATATTTGAAGATGGGTGACCGGGTTCGCCTCTTCTCCCCCGAGTATGATCTCAGATCAAACGAAAGTCTCTCACACTGTTTTACTTTTTGGTATCACATGAAAAGCAGGTCAGTTGGGGAGCTAAACATTTATATTAATGACGAGCTACGGTGGACTATAGCTGGTGAACAAGGCAGCGATTGGAATGAAGGATTTGTTCCACTTCCTAATGATTTTGTTCATGTAAGTTCTGCTTGTTTCATACTTAATATTCTTTGTATCTTTTTCAGTTTTGTCCATATTACTTTTTCTTTTTGATTGAAGTTTCCCTCTTTCCAAATGCTCTTTGAGAAGCTCGCTCGGAAACTTGCATCTTTTTCTGAAACCTTAGAGCACTGATTACATATATAAACTTAAAGTCATAGTTATACCCTATTATCTATGAAAAGGAAGCATTTTTAAACCATAGATTCTTCAATTTACATGTTCAGGATACGGGATTTTACTAATACCTTTTTTAAGAACAGAATAAATTGTTGAAACATTACATTGAAAGTATTCTCAAAAGTAAAAGCAATCCCACATCAACAGAAATATGTTGTTTGTGTGTATCTAGAAGTAAGATTTTTCTTCTGTTGAAAGTAAAATACAGATTAGAAAAATGAATATCTCATTTGGATCAATGATGATTTTTTCCTTGAAAAAATTTTATTTCTCACATTTTCATTGATAGCACCAAATGACAAATCAATTAAAATCTATCTTGCCTCGATGTAATAGTTAGTACCAAAATTGTCCCTCTAGTCTTTTCTTAGGATATGAATTGTTCTCTTAACTGTCTAAGAGGTAAAGAAAAGAATTTCATGTGCTCAGACAAAATATGCAGTACGTACTGAACTGACTTTGAATTAAACAGATTAAACTGAAAATCTTATTCAGTTTACCAAATTTTATGTAGGTACAGTCCTCAATTATTGATTCAAAAAGCAATGTCTATAATTGTTGTGATTCCTTTCCAGATTATTGTCGAAGCTACTCGTGGCTATGCAGCAGATAGTTACATTGCAATCGATGACTTTGCCATTACCAACTCTCAACAAGCTGAAGATCATGAATGTTTTGCACAAGACGCAGAGAAAATCAATGAATCTGCTCCTACCACGCCAACAAATGAGATGCTAAACTCAGATGATGATTCTGTAGAAACAACTGATCCACCAGCTAATGAACCAACACCCTCCGTACCTTTTAACAACACTGCGTCTCAAAAGATGTCATCCAAAGAAGTTACCACTAATAGTTTCTCTCAAGATACTACAATCCCTGCAAATGTTTCTGTAGAAACGATGTCCTCTTCAAGTCCCCCAACTCCCACCTTTGGTACCTCTGGTCTTCCGCAAGGACTCTTTTCAAGACCGTCTCATGAAGTCTCTATTACCCTGAACACTACCATCAAAGAGCATTCAGTTGTCCAGACCAGCCCAAAAAAAAATATTAATATCTCCTCAGGTACCTCTCTAGAAACCTTTTCAAGCTCACATCATGAGATCAATGTATTTTCGACTGCTGCTCATGATGTTTCGCATGTTCCAGGCTGGCCGCAAGAGACATCCATCTCCTCAGAGACACCAAAAATTACTTTGCCTCTAGTTGAGACGGTAACCTCACAAAGTTCTCTTGACTCAGTCTCAATAAAAATGGGGGAGTTCAAACCTCCTGATCATTCAAACACAATCACAGAACCTTCTCTAGTCAAGAACTTATCTTTGCTGACTGACAGCCCTGCAAAGCAAACCCTTTCTGAAATGCTGACCGTGTCAACAAGCACGCTCACTTCTACCTTTCAAACTGCGGTCAGTGCTCAATATGAACTTGCAGACAATAAGTCTGCTGTGGTGCAAAAAGCTGTAACCATTTCTCATGCAGAAATTTCAACATCTCCTCAGCCAAAACAAAGCCTCAGCCCAGAGGAGTCATTAAAAACTTCTATTGACTATAAAAATGAGATAATGCCAACCAAGTTGTTACCAGACACACTTGAAGGCGTACACTTCAATGCTCACAATATCGATAGAAGTAAATGGGCAATAACTAGTTCGAATATTTTACCAGTAACGGAAAGAGGATTGGCGTCTGGTTTTTATCCAAAGGACAGTGCAAAAACAAGTGAAAATGAGTCAATCAGAGGAAACAGTATCGAAGGCTCAGAGACTGTCAGTGACACCCACTCGCTGTTTGATGATGCGCTGGATCCAGATTCTGTAGATGATACCCACTACTCAGACGTAGTCAAACTCTCTAGCCCAGATATGCATAATGGTGACAAATTATTTGTCTCAAAACCCCCTTCAATAGGGACCATTCATGTTAACTTTCCCAATGATCTCACAAACGGAATGGATGAAGGTGATAATAGTCCAGCTAAAAGTGACTGCAGCTCAATAAATTGTGTCAGGCACGATTTAAATGATGAAATTTCCAAAATTTCAGAAAGTCCAATTTCTAAAGCTACAAAAAATAATGCGTTATACAAAGAGAATCATGAGGGGCTTAAACCAGAAGTTTCAGCAGAAGGATCAGGAGCAGATAACTCTCTTATCAAAGGTAATGCTTTTTCTTAATTAAGTAGTTAATAGAGAAATTGAGGAAAGCACTTTGAGAACATAATTTAAATTTTATAAAAAAGGTAGATTTCTCATTTCTTTTCGAACCAAGTTACAGTACGGGATTCATTCCATGTTACTGCTAAGATCAGAAACATTTATGTATGCATTTAACACAAGATTTCTTCTTTTTTTCCTACAAGTTTCTTTTCAGTCTTCTAACATACCGTGCTTAATCATTCATAAAGGTAGAGTCTTGTAATTTTTTTTTTTTTTTTTTTAACAAAAATTTTTAATTGAATTTTACTTCCAATTTTTGAAGTTGAAACTTTTCCTCTTTATATAACTACATACTTTTTTTTATGTGCTGGGCATAAGAACAGAAAATTTCGATGAAGTAAGGGAAAAAGACTTAATTTAAAAAATGGAGGAACAAGCAAGGGTACGAAGTCATAAGTGAACTGTTGGCGATCTTAAAAAATATGCTAAAACAGACACCTGAGTTGTGAGTGGGTCATTGTCAGGAGAGCACGTCAAATTAATAATGCTGGACTGAAAAGAATAGCTAAAACATATCACATAATTATTTTTCTCTTATTGTGTAATTTCAGTTCTGACAGCTGCATTTTCTCACTTCAGCTCTGAGAACCGTACCTTCAAGACCTTCCTTAAAATCTGTTTTGCTTAGTATCCTCTCTAATTTTCTTGGGCCACAGAACTGTCTGTGCTCATGAGGAGCTTATAAAGGAATTGGAAATCTCATAAGTTTCCCAGAAGCAACTTAAAATTTTGGCATTATTTCATTAGGTTAATCATTTCAAAATTTTTTGCTTTTTTCTATTCCCAGGCTCTCAGTTAACTACGACAAAAATAAATTCGAAGATGCACTACTTCATTGTAGCAGCGACAGGTATTGTATTGACTCTGATGATAATTGCAGTTGTTTTTGTGTTCCGTATTGCTAAGAAGCGCATGAAAAGACGGCAACAATCAGGTATTCTGGACGATGACTTTAGTATCAATTTGCAATTAGCTAATTCTAAAGAAATTCTAAACTTTTCTTTGCTTCAACCGGATCAGCTATGAATCATTCGTCTGTACATAGCAATGATCTGATTTTTAACTGATTAATGAACTTAAATTGATGATCCAGTCGGTTGACTGATTTTGAATTTTCACGAGGCTTTGTCATTAATATACTTTGCCTATATAAGTTCTTTGAGGTGCCAAGTCTGGATTTTTAGAATCTATCAGTGCTAAAATAGAAAGAAGATAGAATTAGGAGTCCTGAAAAATCATGACAATTGAAATTTTAATTATAGGCTTGACTCGAACCAAAGGACTATGAATATGACTTCTTTCCTTCTGAATAAATGAGATCTACATCTAAAAACCAGGTACAGAAAAAAGTGCAATGGTTTGATTGCGCAATTTTTCCTTTTCATCGCCAGTCTTTATAATTTTGTCCGTCAAGCCTTTATAATGACCTCATTACCATTCTTATGGAGGAAAGAGGTTTACTTATGTTTGCTCAGGGAATGTTAACAAAAAATATGCAGACAGGAATGCAAAAAATGCTACATCAGTACTTACCTCTGCGTTTCAAATTTATGACCAAATAGATTACGGCGTAGAAATAGTGATTGTTGACTCCATCCAAAATAAGCCTGCAGACAAGGAATAAAATAAGAATTAAAACGTTCCTTTAACTGCATGTTTTCTCCCCATTTCATGCAGGAAATCTACTTTAAATGTCCGATTACCATATCTGAATGGAGATTTGCACTTTTTCACTGAACGCTGATCCAATGGGGAAGGCAAATGACATAATGCAATGGTTTTCTTTTAAATAATTTTAGTTGTGAATAAACAAGAAAAAAACATTATTAACAATATACCTTGCTTATGAGTCAGTTTCTGGACTTTTTTTGTGAAAAAGCCATTGGATCTATTGTATTTGCTCGCAGATTACTGAACTTAGTTATCAGCGAGAATTTTATCACTAATTCTATTTTTCGTTAAAAATCTTGCCAAACTTTTTAGAGGTGCCTATTTTGCGGCCTTTTTTGATTAAATCAATAGTTCTGCTTGTTTGAAGACAATATGCAATAGTCTAGTCATCATACTTATTGTTCCCAAATGAGACTCATTTTCCGTAAGATTTTATTTCCCCTTTTATATTATTATTATTATTTTCCTCATTTGTTTACTTTGCACATGATGTTTTCCAATTGTGAATAAATTTTTACACTTTTTTTATCATTACTTTTTTTTTAAAAAAATAAAGAATCATGAAACAAAACTTGGTATAATTCTAATTGAAGGTGAAATCATGGTTTAAGAACATTCCATCAACGATTTTTTGTCTGCACACCTGTTTTGTCTAGTAGTGTACGTCCACGCAAAAAATAGGCATCAATGACTTAGGTCCAAGCATCATGTTTTAGTCCGTTCGTAAAATTATATTTACAATATCGAAATGAGAATTAAAATTGAGATAGAAGGAGGTGTTGTTATTGTAACTCATTTTTTCAATGAAATGTTACTCTCCTCTCTTGATTCTTCTTTTCGAATTGTCATATTTAGTTTTATTTCTATACTTAAAATTTTTGATTTATAATATACCTTGTGTATACCTTTTTTTCCCATGAAAATATTACACCAAATGGCAAATATGCCAAGCAATGGCATCGTTATTAATCTCAATGAGCCGTAGCTGTGTTGAAAGAAACTATACAAAAATTGTTAGAGGAGGGGGAAAAACCAAGACCCACGCAATCTTTGGTTTTAACCCATTTGCACATCGACCCTTCAGAGTCAAATACGTCCAATTTTGAGCGTTTGGTTGGGCGTACACCAAGCTGCAGCACAGTAAAAGCACAAAATATAAAATAAAAAATTCAAGTGCTTTGGAAATCATCAAATTAGACACTAAATCACTTTTATTTTTAAGAATCACACAATACAGTAGGCATCCTTTAAGGCATATTTTTTTCATCAACTTAAAAGAGAATAATAATCCATGCAGAGTGTGCAAGCGTTTCAAAATCATACGTTGAAAAACGCTGACTCTGCGAGTTTAAATATTAGAGTCTAACACAGAGCGGAGCCGAGTGGCGTGCTGCCAGCGGGAAACGCGCACTGGCGCCTACAAACCTAACAGTGATACTTCACGCATTGCGCAATGCTTGAAGTATCATCTTGGGTTTGTAGGCGCCAATGCGCGCTTAGCGCTGGCAGCACGCCCGCAGCGTCCCACGTCCCTCAAGCAACTATTTCACAAGTGAGGTGTTGTACAGAATCTTACGAAATTGAAGGCGCTCAACATATTAAGAATGACAGGCATCCTTTCAAAGTACGGAGCTTTCCTCGCAAAATAAATCAAGATACTACGGCACCAAAAGAGAGCGGTAGTCCAAAAACTCACTAAATCGTAGCATCCATATTTAATAACGTCTAGCATAACTTTTCAAACTCGAAAAAATGAAAATAATCAAGACACATAAAAAACTGCACATTAGGTGAAGAAGTTAGTCTACGAAAAATATTTTTGGTGCCTAAAGATGGATACTTGAGGAAACTTTAAAGGTCCAAGTTGGAACAAATGCGCTAACTTCAATGACCTCAATGAAAATTGACTGTCTTTAATGAAAATTGAACATTTTCGTGTTACCGAGTTGGTGTGTTTTCGTTCTCACTGATTCAATTAATATTATGTAAATTCCGAAAATGTGCTACCTATAACTGGAAATTCGATCCAACCTGAAATCTGACCCATCCCAAAATTCCAATTCTCTGGAACCGTAATCTAATACGTATATGACGTGACCGGAAATTAACCCAACTGGAAACTGTTTCCAACCGGTAACGTGTCCCTGTCGAAAATTTGACTTGACTGAAAATTTGATTAGGTCGGAGATCTGACCAACCGGAAACCACAATCAATGGGATTCGTTATCCACCCGAAATTTTACTTGACCGGAAATGTGCCCCAATCGAAAACTTGACTCCACTGGAAATCGACCCGACCGGAAATGTGTTCCAACCCAAAATTTGGTTGTTCTCGGATGGAGAATAACCAATTTCAATACCAATATATCATTGATTTTCCTAAAAATTCGATATTAACGATTGACATATTGACTCGTTAACGTTAAAAATCGATTCTACAAGAAAAAATACGATAATACTCAGGTGTCGGTGTACTAAAGTCATAGGTGCATTTAGTCATCCATGAATCAAAAATGAACAATTTCCATCTCAAAAAATCGTTGATTTTCCGTAAAGAATCTTAAAAAACCGATATAACCGATCGATATATCGACTCGTCAATATTAAAACTCGATTTTGCATGTAAAAATACGTAAGACCCGGCGTGTTTATAACATGATTGTGTAAATAACGATAACAACCCCGTAACCACATCAATTCAACAAGAAAATAGCGAAAAATAAGGCCGGAGTTTGATCCGTTTGCCCTCCCCTCGTAACTCGAAAACGGTTCCTATACTCATCTTGAAATTTTTTCCTGAGTTTTTTGTTATTAAACCTTGGTTCGATGGTCGAATCGAATACCGAAAAAGGGGCGAAATTTTGGGAGGCTCTTTAGGAGGTTTTGGAGCTTATAGTATAGACAGTCTCTGGATGCTTCACATACTTTATTCTAAAAGCAGGACGCTCCAGAGTTTTTCGTCTTCAATCTGAACTGTTTTCCTGAACTGCAATTCAATTTTTTACATGAAAACGGTTGTGCGGATTTTTGTGCAAATTTCAGCGAATTTTCTCCATAGTACGAAGCAAATTCCTCAGAATTTTCAAAGGAATCCACAGAAACGTTCTCTCGTAAAAAATTAAATTGCCCAGTTAAGTTTGACAATAGCTGATGTGGCTTGGTTCCTTTCTGTTTAACGCGGTCCAAATGAGACTTACAGAAAAAAAAAAACCTTGGAACTTAAAATAAATGTTCTTCGGACATTTTTCAAAATTACGGCTCGATTGAAGACTCCAAAATTCTGAACATTTCTGGTCAACATCGTTGTACAGGGCCACTCAGGTACGATACAGAAGAGCGCCTTCAACCCACAATGTAATCTTAATGCGAAATTCGGATACCACTATTCGTGCGTCTAGACAGTCATTTTGCATAGCCCGCCCATTGAAGGCAAATCATTGACCCAGGCACCAGGGACCGAATTTCAGCAATGTGATACGTGTTTTTTTAGAGAAGAAAACCTCCGAGAGTGCCGGTGCCGTGCCCTGCCTGGCATCCAAGCAGCTCAACCACCCGCGGGCTGCCCCAACTGACATCCAAGAGTTCCAATCCCCCGGGGACAGCACCACCTGACATCCGAGGAGCCCAACCCCTCAGTTACTCTGGTGCTTACACTGCCTTCTTTAGGAGTGTTTCACTTTTTTTTCGTACATTGCATACTAAAAGAGAGAAAAAAATTTACCCCACACAAGTCTGCACCTTCATGGTGTGCTCTTCTTTTCTAATTGGACTGCATTTTGCAAATTGGAACTATAAATTCTGGCTAATCTAAAAAAACACTTATGTGCATAGGGAAACTAATAGCACATACGTTGTTATTAAACTGGGCTAGAATTTATAGTTCCAAATTGCAAAATGTAGTCCAATTGACAGAAGAAAAACCATTTCTGTCAAAAATTTTCAAGTAAAAAAAAATATTTTACTGAAGGCAACTTTCCATTCATCCATCATATTCGCTCTGAGGCAGAGAATAGAAACTCTGTCTCCTTCTGGAGTAAGATAAGGAATTTAATGCACCCCCCTTTATTACTCACATTATAGTCATGAGTTGAAAACTGCAGTGAAGTGAGGGAAATATTTCAATAAAAAGACTAAAGTTATTCCTTGATATTCCATCCATCACAAAAATTTTAATCGAAATTGATGACAGAGTCTAGTAAGTAATCATTTCGAAAAAAAGAGACAGTTTGCAAAAGAGTTATAAAGTCTAATTTCAATTAAAAAGACAATTTATGCACGATGCTGGCATACACATAAGCAAGATAATTGATAATCGATACTTGCATACTTTGAGGAGTGACCAATCAGCAAACTAAAATTAATTATTCTTAAAGTGCCACAAAAGCAGACCAAATGAACTGCATTTTGCAATTTGGAACTATAAATTCTGGCTCTTCTGAAAAAACACTTATGTGCATAGGAAAACTAATGGCACATACTTTGTTTTTAAACCAGGCTAGAATTTATAATTCCAAATTGCAAAATGTAGGTAGTCCAAATGTGTGTAAGTTTATCATGCGAGACACAAAGAGCTGCAAGTTAACTTCTAAAATTTCAACAGATGTACGCACACATTGATATGGAATACAGAGGCTGTGTGGGGTTGAAATTGGCATATGGAAATAATACCTCTTTCAAAGAGAGTTTGATTTCACACCTTTAATAGAGGTTTTTTCTGGATGGCTCTCTAACTTCGCTGGAGAAATAGGGGTTCTATTTTGGAGAGCTCATACAGAGAGAATGACTGGGAAATCTATGAAAATTAGATTTCTAGAAGTTCTCACCGCTTTCACCATTTCCTGGGAAGTACTAATTCCATCAATCTACCTGATGGACACAGAGAGGGTAGATCACATGGTTTCCATCTGAGGAATAGCCACATGGACTACCTGGAAATCTTGTATCATGCTGTCTAACTGGAGGTACCATGTGCTAATTTGAGCTCCTCACATTTGACATATGTTTCATGATGATTCAAGAAATATTAGTGAGTAATATTCGTGTGCATGGAAACTGATGGAGCAGCTACGACAGTTTGAACTATTTTTGGAGAGTAATGTGGTTCAGGAACATGGAAGAAATACCACATGAAACCAGCAGCTAGCAGCAGATGCAGAGTTGTCAAGACTGCAAGCAGAGGGTAATTTTTCTGTCCTAGGGCAGGAGCTATTGATGTTAAGAGAATGTAGCCAGAAATCGCTGCACCCGTTCCGACTAAAAACCACTGGAGCCAATTCACTTGGATCACCCATAGCACTGATATTGGAATATAGATAGATAGAGAATATCCATAAATACACAAGAGCTCTAGAGCACTGACGGGCACAGTCTGAAACAAAATTGAAAATTCTTGATGAGAAAAAAATTAACAAAGAAGAAAAATTGAAAGATAGAGGTTCAAAAATAGCTGATTGTAAGAGATTAAAACCATGTTACGCTTTTTATTACAGCAGCCTGATTGTCGGGACGACATAGATGACATAGGTTAAAAGGCGGAGCGGGATTGGTCGGCTATGTCTTATCGCTGCTTTATCGTGCCTTTGTCAGGTGGAATGATCGACATACTGTCGGAAACTTAAGAGGTGCCGTTAGCTTGTCAAGAGTTCAACCCGACATAGGCACGACAAAGCAGCGATAAGACATTGCCGATCAATCACGCTTCACCTTTTAACCTATGTCATCTATAAACAAACAATTTCAACAATCAGGCTGCTGCCTTGTAACAAAGGCCAAGGTTAGTAACCAAAAAATCCGTTGATTATGTTTGCTTCTGATGAAATTTTAATTGCATCCCTAGAAAACAAAATTTCTGATACTTAAAAGTAGACAGCATGATAGTCGGTGCGTTAACGTAGAACGGAATACTTAAGAAAAAGGACATTTTGCGCATACAGAGGATTGCGGTGTATGACTCAGCCACACCGGGCTTACTGCAAATAATTTCCTGTTGTGTCCATGCCAACTCACTTTCTGCCAGCAAGCTCCTTCTCTACGGACCTCCTGTCTAGCAATTGAAAAAAAATTGCTGACAAATTTATGCTCAGTAAGATTATCACTTACTCCCAGAAATTTCAATTTCAATCCTGGTGATAAAAAGGTGTAATTGAGAGTATAAAAAATAAGGAAAAGGTTGTGTTCTTGACAATTGTTGAATACAATCTGAATGGAATTAAATAAATATTTCTCACCTCTTGCTGTCCTTGATACTTCAGATAGGCCCATAGTACAACAGGTAGCACCCAGGCGTAACAGATGATTGCAGATGCAGCAGATGTTACGATATGAAATTCATATTTCCAGTGATAAACATGAGTAGCTGTTGCTTGCAGATAATTGGCAATGTTACCACTAATTGCTATGGAGAAAACAAGGGTAATACAGATCCAAACAGGGCCGTAGAGGTCTGGCTTGTTCTTTATATATTGCTGCAGATAGTTTACATTGTTCTGAGGAATGACTGATGCTTTTACCCGTTCAATAACAACATCAGTAGTTACATCGAAAAACTGTTGAAAATACTCCCATGTCCAAAATGACTTGGGATCGCTGGACTTACTGGTAAATTCAGCAGTATTTGGCAAATTATTACCGCTTGGGGAATTAACGGGGTTGTTGATGGGTAGCTTTGCAATATTAGAAGAGTCATTGGGGATCGATGCAGAGAAATCTTGGAACTGTAGCTGAGAATTGAAGTCTGGAGACTCTATGTCTATGAGGTTAGAAACACTAGGAGCTTGCATTTGAAAGCTTTATAGTAAAAAGTCACTCTCAACACACTTGTTTAACTTCACAAGATCATGTTATTGATAAGAGCACCATCTAACTAGCAAGATTAATAATATGACAGAGATACTATCTGATGAATTGCACTATAAATTCGCCACAGACGTGTAATGTTTACAATTTTGCACAGATAACACATAGAGAAAAAAAAGGAGGTGTTTGCATTTCGGGCATCTTGGAATATTTTGATGACTTGATGACGTAGGTGGGTACAGCTGGGTACAGGGACGTCCCCTTCACACTGTACCCACCTACGTCATCAAGTCATCAAAAAATTCCAAGATGCCCGAAATGCAAACACCTCCTTTTTTTTCTCTATGCAGATAACAAACAATGTGTTGATAAGGAAGGAGGGGGCAGTGTAAGTACCTTAAAAATCCGCTAGATAGCAGAGCCTGTTCTAAGCTACTTTTAGTGCTCCGATACTTTAGGATGGGAGACCTTATGGGAACATGAGCCGATAATTACCACTCCATCACCGTAAACGGTATTTTTTAGCAGCGCAATGCACCTAGGCCGTCAATTCTTGAAAATTTACGTATCTAGCATCGAATCTAACTAATAATTTTTAATATAATTTTCTTCACTAAAATTACAACTCTCATACATTTTGATGCTTTTGCAATCAAGCAAAGACATTGAATAGAGCAATCAAGTTGCAACTTTTTTGTTGTAAAATGCCACTTACATGCCGATTTTTGTTTATTTTATTATTAAAAATTATTTGTGAGAAAAGAAAAAGTAAGAAGACATATTTTTTAGCGGTCCGTCAATACGTTAACCCGTGGTTTCAGTATTTTAAGTACGGGGAGGGGGTGTCATATTCGGTAAAAGGTTGTATCGAAAATTTTTCGTATCTGCTATCCAAAAGTATGGGGGAATTCCGAGGAATTCAAAATTTTGATGTATGAGTTGCCACCGTGGTTGAGGCCTCCTATTTTATTTCTCATAGGCTCGAAGGGGGGGGGGGNGGGGGGGGGGGGGGGACCATAAATTTTGCAGGCCCGAGATTTCCACTTGCGGCCTCTCCTCCTCGACCTCGAAATTTCTCTGAAAAATGAAAAAAATTCCCCCGTATGGCCTGGATCACCCTGTATATGCATACTAATATCTCTTCCCAAACTTTTGCTATTTTGCATTCATTTAAATACTTGTAAATGACGATTCGTCCAACGCGAAAGCAGCGTACAAGGTCAAATCAGATCTAAATCTCCTAACAACCTAGCGGCCATTAGTCTAACTACGAACATGAGAGTCATGATTTTCGAGCTGTGACCTCCTACCTCTTCAAGTTCTGCCTCATCCTCTGATTAGAAGTACGATGTGTGTGTGTGAGGGTGTGTGTGAGTGTGTCATAAGTGGCAACAACTGCTGAGTCGCGCTGTTACGTGTTGTAAATTCGAGATTTTGTTTCGTGAGTGTCCTTTGACTCGTTTTCCTGTTCTTCGATTTCCTGAGCCTAGTTATCAGTGAAAGTTTCCCAATTTTGAACATACAAGTGTTGTGATTCCAGTGTTAAAATATCGCTTTGTGATCGGTGCATCATTATTTTGTGCTAGCTTCGAGTTTCCTTCATTTTTTAAACCTGAGGGTTCCTTTCTTCAAGGTGAGCCTCCACACCTGACTTACTCTCAATGTTTAACTTTCTCCTTCCGCGATTACGTAGTATGTTTTACCTAGCCTATTACTCAATTGTCGCCACTCATTTACGCTTTTCTCTTGATGAATCCATATTGATATGTGATGATTACATTAAGAATTCAGAACTTACAGGCAACCGAACCCAAGGCAGCATTACTATTTCAGTCTTACCTGAAGGAATCCATCTGTCAGTGGTGCTCCCCACCTATGTAGGAGGGATTCTTTGTTTCCCCATGGAGGAATACACAATTATTTTTTTACAGTCAGCAAAAAGTAAAGTCTGAATGAAAAAGCGTAAGGAAAACCGTTAAGGTTAGAAATGCTTCAGAGTTATGAAGGGTTAAGTAACAGTTGAAGGTACGCAAGAAAATGAGTATTTCCGAAGAGTTCAAAGCGATCAACGGATTTTTACTGTTTGGCAAGAATATTGTAGGACATTGTGCATTCCAACACACCTCTCTCCCCAATTTCTGAGCGATGATTGAAAGTAAACTGTATGCAAGAAATGGCAATTCTGGCGAATTGAGTACCTTACTGGAGTCTGATTAATGCTTCTTATCAATTTGGCTCTATATGCAGCAGTATCAACCAATGCTTGATTAATGACACTAAATCACTTCCTAATCTGTTGGAAGAGGTTTTGATTCATCCTACTATATGCCCTCTCCACCGTGCACTTCATAACTACTCAAACATGAAAACATTAAGGTGATTCGATGGACGCCATATTTTGTGTCAGAACGGCATGCTATATATCGCATCAATTGGTTCCATTTTTTCAGCTACTCGTCATTTTTCTCCAATTTTGAGATCGCAATTCTGTTGTCAGGAGACCAAATCACTCACTTACCAATTTTAATAAAGCAATTCAAGGTAATAAAGGTGTGGTTTTTTAGGGAGAAAATGTCGCATTTGAGTGCAGTTTCGATATCAGTATTGAATGCGTTATTTTCTCTCTAAAAAAACCACGCCTTTATTACGTTGAATTTCTTTGTTAAAATTGGTAAGTGAGTGCTTCAGTCTCCTGACAACAGAATTGCAATCTCAAATTTTGAGAAAAATGACGAGTTGGTGAAAAAATTGAACCAATTGATGCGATATATTCCATGCCGTTCTGACACAAAACATGGCGTCCATCAAATCACCTTAAAGTTGAATTCTCAAGTTCTATCAATTAGTTTTCAGCCATTTTTCTTATAATTTCCTTTCATAATAACCTTGCTGAGTAATTAAGGTGTTTCGACGGTTGCCATTTTTTGAGTCTAAGCGACGTACATTACACCACAACAATTTGTTCCATAAGTTCAGCTACTTGTCATTGTTTTCAAGATTGCTTTTTAAGAGGACAAATATCGCATTCGATACTGATATCGACACTGCACTTGAATGCGATATTTTTCCTCTGAAAAAACCCTGCCTTTAATAAGTTGAATTTCTTTGTCAAATTTGGTACATAAATTCTTTAGTCTCATGACAACAGAAGTGCGATCACAAAGAAATGTTTGATATTTTGACAACATCAAACATTTAAATAAGAAAAATAATAATAGGTAAATGAAAAATTAAAATAAGTAATTAAAATTGGTCGAATGAAAAATACTGTAAGAAATAAAGAAACCAAGTACCAAACGTAAAAGTAAATACGTAAGTAAACCATATCAACCACAACGCTAGTGGTATCCTGTAAATACGGGATATCCCTTGTGCAGCATACACAATCAATCATGGGATCTAGCTTTTAAAGTGCTCCCTTTTTTTACGATTTTACGCTGGAAATATCGCGTAATTGCCGTGATTTTTATACTTTAAACGCGTAATTTCTCACTTTTTTACGAAGCCGCTAGAAAAATCTTTTATTTGCTGCCATCCTCAGATGAAATCCGCGTATAGTTTCTTATGGGTTTATAAAGCTGCTGTAAAAATCGCTTATCTTGTTTCTTAATGGTTATTAACACCAAGCGCGCAACTATTTGAACTCCGGAGTAGGCATGCGGTATCACGCGAAAATGAAGGCAAATCTTGTTTGCCTTTCGCCTGTCTTGGATGAATGACGTTTATGAAACGTGCGATGTTCGTGTGAAAGATGCCATGGTGTCTAGACCGGCAAAACCGGGGAATCCGGGATCCATCAGCGAATGAAAAATTTCAGGAAAAATCTGGGAATCTTTTCCCGAAACAGGGAATTTCCTCTTCTACCGCGTTGAGATTAATTCTCCCTTTGATTTCTTTTGAATTTTCTCCCAAGCTATCTGTCATTTTCCGAACATCTACGGAAGTATGACACTGAGTTTGTTCGCGTGCGAAAATAAATGGTGGTAAGGAAATTTGAAGTACCCATTGATATTATTAAGGTTTTTTTTATTACCCCTCAGCCTCACGCACTCTATTGCGCCTGAGCCTCCATTATTGACCTCTTGAATTACATATTCGAATCTTCAAATCATTAAAATAGTCGAGAATCTTTCATTTACCAAATAGTGTAAACATCAGGAACGCTTTTGGCAGTCAAAATGTGAATGTGCACCAACGAAGCTGCTGAAAGATGAAAAAATTTAATTTTCATATCTGGTACTCCAGGGAGTTTTATCGTTTTCCTTAAGATGATCTCGGCAAACTGCAATTATTCTGTAAGTCCTCATCAGGGAATGAGCTCCTGAAAATTAGGGAATGAGTTTGGCCAAGAATTGTAGACACCATGCTCCTAACGTAACGAAGAAAGAAACCGTACCAACATTCGATAGTTTCCATAAAATCAGGAATTCCATAAAATTCCACCTTCAATAAAATCAGGGTTGCTACAGTCAGGGAAAACCGGTAAATGTCAGGGAAAATTTTTCATATCATCTTTATTTGCTTTCTAGAATGCGTTTGAGGTTTCAAACAACAAATTTTGCCTGAAAACTATTTTCAATGATGCCTTCTTAACCATCCGTCACATCTTCAATTGTCAGGGAATTTCACCAAAATGTATCGGGGAAATTCATTTTCTGAATTCTGTGGCAACCCTGTAAAATGTTCATTCTTAAGAAGAGCCGTGAATATTTTCTCTTAAGAATTTCAGATAATTAATTGGACTGCATTTTGCAATTTGGAACTATAAATTCTAGCCCGGTTTAAAAACAAGGTATGTGCCATTGATTTCCCGAAGCACTTAAGTGTTTTTCCAGAAGAGCCAGAATTTATAGTTCCTAATTGCAAAATGTAGTCCAATTATTCGAGGACATTAATTTCCAGATACTTAATTTAGATCCGATTGTAAATAAAATTCTCTGAAAAATCCGAAGGGAAAAATTCTCTCCGATTTCTCCGGATATCTTATCTTATCAAAGGAAATTCGGCAACATCGGGGGGGCTCATGCGGCGTTCTTCCTCAGCAGTCAGCACGGCAGTGTAGGACACGAAGGAGCTTCCCCGAGGAAACTTGACAACCACGTTTTATAATGAGTATCATAACCGGGAATTAACGCGATTAATATGCTAAGGAATAAAATTACTCTCGAGTCCAGGTTTGTGCGTTTTCTTCGCACTGTTGATTTGACATGTAAAATCGAAAATTCCATCTTCAGCTTGCCGTGGTCGCCGCGCCGGTTTGTTCATGATTCTAACTGTGTTCAAGACATGCCGTTATTGGTCGACGTTGGTGCGGATTTGCAAGGAGGTAATGAAGTTGCTCGAATCGATTTGAATGCATCTCGATTCTTCCATCGGAAAGTTGTCCGCCTAGGACCGGGGAAATCGCAGGGAATGAACAAGTTCAAGGAATCAGTTCTTGAAACCGGGAGTCTCCTCTCCTACCGCTTGGAGACCATTTTTACTAGGCTTTTACTATTGACAGTTGACACGAACAGAGTGTCTACAAGTCCGGAAAAAGTATTGATTTTTTAAGGGCGGCCGGAAGTACCGAGAAAGTGCGGAAATTCCGTAAGAAGGTCATGGAATTTCTGTCATTTTTGTCGCACCTGGAGCGAGAAATTCACATTTTTGAAAATTTTCGAATTTCGGCAATTGGGGGTATTGACAAAGTACTGGATATTTATGATGAGGAGGTACTGAATTTCTTGGGAATGTACTGAAAAAGTATCGTAAAAGTACTGATTTTTGGGCAGCCTGTTTCAGCAGACACCCTGCACGAACTGATTGCGGTAGACGCACGGCTCTTAAGACAGTGAGTTGGAATTTTCCAAATCTCGGGCTGGTTTTCACGACCTCTCCGAGCTTTGTAGCAGGAAATGGACCACTAGACAAGGTACGAATTTGAACAATCTGATACATGTTCCATAACAAGAATTTTGCGTAGAGCACGATTCGCGCATTGAAAAGTACTGAGACCAACTCCTAACGAAGATATTAACGTTTTGATTTCACATTGGTTACGAGGAATTTGAACTGCCCGCTCATAAGAAACTCAAAGCTATACGTGAGTCAAATCGCGCACTACAACGGTTTCAGCGAGCCTCTCAATCGAGCAATATACATTTCCCACCATGTGCTGTTCAAACTATAAGCAATTTGCTATAGCTGAGCCAAAGTGTCAAGAATGAAGTTGCCAGATTTTTATATCGCAGAGACTGTCATGATAACTTTCAGCGCTCGATGTGAATCACGTAGAGCATTGAGTTTTCATGAGCGGGTGGTTTGAATTCATGCATCAAGAATCATTAAATTGCCTTGTAAGGAGTTGATTTTTGTAATTTTCGTTATGCGTATCGTATTCTACGTGAAATTTTGGTTGAGAAACATGTATCAGAATGCTGAAATTCGTACCTTGTCTAGTGGTCCATTCAGGAGGCTGCGCTGCACTGAAGATTGGCCCAAAAAGGCCGAAACGCGTCTGCTGTTGCCTTCCTGAATGGTCGCTACCAGTGTTGCACCGAACAGCGTATCTCTGTGAGGGAAAATTGTGCTCATGTGAGCTTTTTCCCTCTGTATTGAGAATTTCAGCTTTATGCTGATTTTTACCGCACG